GCAGTTTCTTTGCTTGGCTGGTTTTCGGACTACAACTCCCAGCCTGGGCAGTAGCTCAACAGGCAGGGGGATGCTGGGATCTGTGGTCCAAGGGATGGGGGGGAATGGTTTCTCAAGCTCTGAGGGACACCCTCCTGCTTCAGGCCTTTCGAGGTTACCTTCTCAGTGCCAACCTTCAGCATCCCTTGCAAAAGCTTCCGAGGGGCCTCTGGGAACCCCAGCCGAGAGGAGCCCTACATCTGTGGGAGGCTCCTGGATAGAGACTCCAGGACCCCTGGACCCCCCCCCCATTATGTCACCCAAGAGGCTCCAGAAGGATGCCCACTTGGCCTGGGGGAGGCGGCTAGGAAATGGGTCGGGGAAATGCAATAGTTCATTGACTAGGTTCGTGGCTCTCCCCTCTTCCCCACTGTATCCCCACAACAGTCCTCTGCGGTAGGTCGGGCTGAGAGAGAGCAGGTGACCGACCAATCCTCAGCGAAGAGAGACCCACATCAGTGGTTCCTGCAGTTGATGGAGAACACCACCTGTGGGGCTTCTCTGCTAGCGGGTCATCCTCCGTGGGTCTGGGCTCTCTTGAGCCCCCCACCCCACCCACCCACTTCTGGCACTGATCCTGGAGCGCCTCTCACTGCTCTTCTAGCGGGTCACCCTCCGTGGGTCTGGGCTCTCTTGAGCCCCCCACCCCACCCACCCACTTCTGGCACTGATCCTGGAGCGCCTCTCACCCTCTCCCTTCCTCGTCCATCTCCCTCTCTCTGGAGTCCACCTGAGGAGCCTCTCCGGGGAGCTGCCCAGGTACAAGCTGACCGTCGGCGAGCAGGGCTGGCTCGGTGCGTTCAGAGGGAGGTCCTTCAAACAGCGCTCCAGGCTTTCCAAAGGGGTGCTCAGACCTAGAGAAACGGGGGGGGGAGGTGGAGATGAAACAGAATGTGTGGGGCACACCTTGGTTCTGCATGGACCTCAGAGACCAGGTTGGAACTCGCCACAAGTCGGGTTCTCTCCTCCCTTGGCCCCAAACTTTCTCTCCAAGGGCTTCCCACCTCAGAGACCTGGAACCTACCAACCGACCTTTCCTGACCCTGCTTTCAGTCCTAGAGTCCAAAGGGCAGGTGGGGAAGGATCCGGCCAACTACTAGCTGGAGCAAAAGCCTCCTCTTGCCCCCACTCACGGTAAAGCTGAGAGAGGGCAAGGGGCCACCCCTCCCTCTCCCCAACCGGGGGTCCTCCGGGATGGCAGAAGATGCCATCCAACTCCCCCCCCCCACACCCACACCCACCCACACCCCAGACAGACACTGGGCAGAGCCAGGCTCCCCCAGGAATGCCCAAAGGCTGCCCGCAGAGGCCGAGACAACACAGAGAGCGGGCTCTCTGACGGCGGGGGGGGGCGCTGCGCTCCTCCTGACCTTCCCGGGTGATTCCAGTCCCCGATTTCCGCCATTCCGTGTCTCGCCCTTGGCCGCCGTTCGCCGGCCCGGCAGGCCCCTCCTGAGCCCCTTGAGAAGGAATGTCCTCCATGGCAGGGCTGGCTGGAAGGAAAGCCAACAGGGAGGCTGGAGGAGGAGGAGGAGGAGGAGGAGGAAGGCCAGGCACAGTCTGGGTGTCTCCACAGCTGGCTTTGGCAAGGGAGGGTCCCGCTCCAAAAGACCACTGCAATCGCCGCTCGGAACACACGAAGGGCAAAACAGTTTTATTTGGAGTGGAATTTGGATGCCAGAGGGAGAAGAAACGATATTTTACGTTGTATCTCTGCTGTATTTCTCCATGCCTTTTCCTGTACTTTTCCACTGTCAATGCATTTACAATTACCAGGCCTTCTAGGCCCCAACTTTGGAAAAGAACAGACATTCACACCTAGCTGATAGCAGCAGTTGATAGCATTTATGGCCCACCTAGAATAACAAAGGGGCCCTCTATCCCACTGGTTCTTAACCTTGGGTTACTCAGGAGTTTTGGACTGCAACTCCCAGAAGCCTTCACCACCAACTGTGCTGGCTGGGGTTTCTGGGATTTGCAGTTCAAAAACATCCGAGTAACAAAGGTTAAGAACCACTGCTCTATTCTACCCAAAGGTGCCACCCGAAGGAAACAAATGGCCAGGTGGCCAGGCATTGGAATGTCAGGGGAGGAGGAAGGCAGCGCTAAGGGATACTCCTGTTCCCAGACTTTCAGGCGCATCTTGGGCACAGGTCAAGGAAACACCGTGCCTATTTTCTCGTGACCAATAGATTAGCTTAGTTAGCACCTTTTGCCCAATGGGAAACTGGATCCAAATTTGGGGTACAGATGACCAATAGAAATGTACTACTTTATGGCTCTTTGTATCATTATAAAATGTATGTACGTGCATCTCCTGGTGAAGTCCCAGCTGACCATTTCTTTGCTGCTATTCAAATAAAATTGGGCCTTTGCTTCAGCTGCCTTGCGTCTTAGCCTGATTCCTCGCTGGAATAATTGGGACCCAAAAGTGCCAGGTAACAGTTTCATGTCCCGAAGCACACCCCAGCGCACGCATAGCGTTGCTGCGCACCTGGCGGAGCAGGGCCCCGTCCAGTAAAACGTGACAGGGTCGCCCTTCTTGCTCGTGTTTTTCCCACAGGAGACTCATCTGGCTGTCCTCACCCAGGGAGAGATTTCTCTCCTTAGAATCTCACACGGAAGGGGCTGTCCCAAGCTCTCCACCTATCTCTTCATCAAAGCAACACAGCAGCCACACCGGGAATTGCTCCAACAGGCCTCCGAGTGTGAATCCAAGCAGCAGCTACAAGCTGCCAGTTCCGAAGAGCACCCGGGACACAAACCCAGTTTGGAAGGTGGGCCTCTTCTTACCCCACGTGCTGAGTGCTGGCGGGGTCTGGTCCCGGGAGGAGAGGGGGCACATCTTCTCTGGCACGGCCCACTCATCGCTCAGTTCTGGAGAGGAAGAAGAACCCAACGTCAATGGGGTGTTCTTATCAATGGACTCTGGACCATCTACGGAGCTTTGCAAGGTGCAAGACAGGAGGTCTCTGCCCCAAGGACTCTGCTATAGCCATGACCCGGCTCCACAAGGGAAAGGAGGCAGGAAGAGGAAGCAGGAGCGAACAGGAGAGATTAGGGTCCCCTTTCAGCTTTGTGACAGGAGGGTGTGCGGACCAAGGCGTCACGGAAAAGGTGGAACCTGTGGAGAAAAGCCAACAGAGGACAGCCAGGAGCCGTTTCAGGCACGGACCGCATCAGGGGAGAAAAAGAGAAGGAACGAGGACAGCGACAGCAGAAAAGCACGGTGAGGGCTTTGTGAATGGGTTTCCCCTCCAGCGTGAACTCGAGGCGGCCGACAGGATTCTTCTCCTCCTCCTCCTGCTGCTCCTCCCAGCATCTGCCTTGTGAAGCCAGTGGGGCTGAGAGAGGACGACTGGCCCGAGGTGAGCCGGGATGTCTCAGAGGACTCGGAAGACCCAGGTCCTCTCCCCGGCGGTGGGCGATCCCTGCCCGTGGTCCTTGAAAGAGCCGCGTAAGCCGGAGAAGAGAGAAGGGTCGCAGCCCCACCCTCCCCAGTGCCCCACAGGGGCGCCCAGGAAGAAGACCCATTTTTCAAGGCCCCTTTGGGGGGGGGAATATGTACCTGGCCTTCCTCTCCTGCCCCCCTTTCTCTTCTCTCCTCCTCCTCCTCCTCTTCTCTCGGGCAATGCTGTGGAGGCCCACGGCTGCCTTGGGGTGGGGATGTCCTTCAAGCAGTTCAAGAGGCCGTGGAGGGGGCTGGTGGCTGGGCTCCACTCTGTGGACAGGACACAAGGCGGAAGCACGGGGAGGACGACGACCCACTTAAGGCGCAGGGGGCCAGAGGCGTTTTAAGGGAGCCACATTCCTTGGGGGGGGGACTGCCCAAGTCCCCAGAACCCTCGGCCAGCCCGGCCCATTCCGACAGTACCCAGGAGGCTGTGGGCTCCCCCCTCTTGACCGCCAGCCCCCCAGGGCCAGGGAGCCCCTTCCCCACCAGGCCCCATCCCAGACAGAGGCTGCCTCACCCTCCGAATAGGGAACCCAGAGGCCCAGCTCCGTCCGGCTCTCCGCTTGGGTGCGAGAGGAGCCCTTGTGGGGCAGGCTGGACTGGAGGGGGCCTTCCTCCTCCTCCTCGTCTTCCTCAGGGGACTCCTTCAGGCCTCGGAAGGCTAGTTCCTCTTCCTCAGCACCTGGCTCCATTTTAACTGTTGCAGGAGAAAGTGAGGGGGGACCATGATGACCCCCAAAACAGGGCAAGGGGACGGTGGAGGAAAGCAACCCCCTGCCTGCCTGCCTTCCATGTATCCATCATCCACTCCTTCCTTCCTTCCTTCCTTCCTTCCTTCCTTCCTTCCTTCCTTCCTTTACCTTAATAAGCTGTAAATAAGGGTCAAGTGGCATTTTCCTAATCCTTCCTTCCTTCCTTCCTTCCTTCCTTCCTTCCTTCCTTCCATCCTTCCTTCCTTCCTTCCTTCCTTCCAAGTATCCATCAGAGGCAGAGTTTTCCCAAGACTACCAAGGACCAGATTGGGATTCTCCACATGCAAAAAGAAAACCCCATCCACCCAGGATGCCAGAACCCCTCCCTTTAAGCTTATCATGGGCATCCGGTGAGTCCTCCGTAGCGGGCAGCTCTTCACTTGGGTACCCTTTAAGGACCAGGATGGCATGCCGATGGGTCCCATGGGGTCCTCTGCCAAGCCCAGCCAACCCTGCAAAGTCAGCCCACGACAGAAGAGGGTCTCCTTACTTTTCACACCAAGGATAGCAGTCTCATCCACCAAGCTTTGCTCGTTTCCAGCTCCAGGGCAGCCGATGGCATTCCTGGGTCCGTCCAGGTGCTCAGGTTGGGGGCTGTGGGTCATCCACTCAATTTTAACTGCAAAACCCCAAAACAGAAACACTGAAGCTAAAGTAGAAACCGCTAAATTGCAGCAAGAAAGCCTAGGGCATTTGCACAGAGCTGTAAATCTAATCAGCACAGACAAAGGTACAATCACAGGGCTGGTAAAAATACTATTAGAGATGGGTAGGAATCAGAAAAACTGCGAATTGTTTTGATTCGTCATTCCTCAGGATTGATGAAACACTTTTTTCTGACAAATTGATTTGTCCATTCATTTTTTTTACTTTAAAAGCCTATAAAAAAGCCCCCAGGCACCTAAGACACCAAAACTGCAAGGACGCTTCCTCTGACATTCCTCTACAATCCCTCTAAGTTTGGTGAAGATTGGGTTTCCCCAAGCCAAATGCTAAAGGAGGTGGGTCCCGGAGGATTATAGAGAAGAGCCAGAGGGACGTTTCCCTGCAATGATGGTGTCTCTACATGGGGGGGGGGGGGAGGATTTTTTTTTTTAGCTCAACAAATCAATGAATCAAAAATCACTTTAAAAAATTGTTGATTTGTGTTTGTTAGGGGCATGGGTTTGTATGAATATGAATCGACGAATTAGCAACTCTTGATGAATGTTCTAATTCGTTTTTTCAATTCATGTCCATCCCTAAATACTCCCAGAGCGCCTACGAGCGAGGACTTCTGTTTACCGGCTGCAGAGAGACTGCGGTCCTTCGTCGGGGGTGCAACCGTCATCGTTCTGTCTCCCGCTGTCTGGACGGCGGAAGTCTCGCCCGCCAGGATCCTAGGCGAGTCAGCTCCTTTCTTCCCCAGGTGACCTGGGCTGTCCTTACACCGCTCTTCCTCCGTTGCTTCTATTTTAACTGCATTCATCAAACGAAAACAGGATCGTTGGAGAGAAATGAAAATATCAACATTTGAAAAATCTCTGAGCACGGATCCTTAAGGCATACATTTCTGTTCTAACAGGGACAGATCCCACTCTTTTAAATTAATTAATTAAATGGATGAATGTGTTTGGGGCACTGGACACTTAGCCGTAGCTACGGCAGTTTCTTCTCCAAACATAGGAGAAGAACACACACAGAGAGACACCGGTTTCTCTCTCTTTGGGCCACCCTTGCCCTCTCTCACGGGCCTCATCCAGAAGCGGAGTCCTCAGATGCCACGTTTTGAAGGAAAGAGGCTCCTGGAAGGAAAGGGGGCTGTGCCCTCTTCTAAAGATGTGGTTATTGAATCGCAGAAGTTCAGTATGTGGGCAAGCCGTTTCCAAAGGAAGGCATTCACGCCGAGCAAGCACCCACCCGGAGGGAGTCGAAAGGGGCACCTGTAGGCACAGCCCAGGGGGCCAGGTGAGCATCCAGATGGAGGTCGGACACAACCCGGAACGAAGACCCCACAGCCCTGACCGACAACGCTCTGGGCCCACCTCGGATGGGAAGAGATCCGCTCCCACCTCTCCTCCTCCTGCAGGCTTGGGTCTCCGGCCAGCCCCCGGTGGAGGATCTGCGGGGTGCCTGTGGGGGAGGACGGGGCTGGTGGACGATCAGCTCCTTCAGGCCCTTCAGCAGACCCTGCAGGGGCTTCTCCTCAGCGGCCTTTTCTGATCAAGAGGAAGAAGAAGGAGAAGCAGCAGCTGGGTCTTAGTGCGGAGGGTCAACCAAGCGACCTCAGTGCCTCCTGTGGAAAAAAAAGGCCCTCAAGGAGGCCAGGATAACCCAAACGGGGAACTGGATCCCTAGGGGCCATGATCCAAAAGAGCTGGTGGGGTGCCAAACAACAGCCTAGCCTCCCTGAACAGAGTCATGGTCAGCCTTTTTTAACCTTCTTCTGCAGGTTGGCGTCTCAAAACAAAAACCAACACTTAAAAAAAAACCAAAACAGCACAACCCATTAAGCAGCCATTTGTAAAAACCAGGTTTTGCTTATAATATCTGTTGTCTGGCAGGAGAAATACCAAGCCCTGGGAGCCCCACCATTCTCTGGTTGCTGTGCTGCCGGCTGACTGCCTCCGCCTCGGGGCCCACACTCCTCTGTGATGCCAACATTTTGCATGTCCGCTGAACATCTGGCTCGGAGAGGCACAATCAGTTCTTCATAAGAAGCAAATTTAGGGACACTGCTTACACATTACTCTATGGCAGAAGTTACTGTTGTGCTGATGAAGGAGGGGGGGAGTCAATAAGTGTATTCAGCACCACCACCACCCAGATTTGTCCTGATTTTCCAGGACATGTGCTCACAGGTAGCACTCAACCACAAGCAGGAACATCTCTGCTGCAGTTGATGTTGCTCTCCAGAAATAGAAAGCGCTGACAGTAAGGAGAGCGGCCAAACGCTGCTCTCTAAAGGTGGTCAGAGTAGCTGGCAAGGAAAAAGCCAACGCTCCATCAGGGCGCATGGAATAAGCCCACAAGGCAGGGCCACAGCTTCGGCTCAGCCTTCAGACGCTCCCCTCTGCCATCCTCCTGTTAGCAGGAGGTTGGGAAGACCCTTCTCCCCTTTCCCCCACCAGAGCAGGCAAGGCTCAGCCAGATGGACAGAATGTCTGAGCGGGTGTAAATCTTTTTTTCTGGGTTCTTGTCCTATGCTTGCCATCCGAGCCCGGTTCCTCCCAGAGGCAGGTTCTCCCCACTCCCAAGTTCAAGCAAACCAGCCTCTGCTTCGCTGGTGCAGGCCTGTGCGCCCATAATAATCTGTTCTACGGGCAGAGGTTTTCGGAGCAGTCCATTAAAGTTCAAGTGTTGCAGTTCATCACGTCCCAATCAAGAGAAGATTAACCCCAACAAGTCAACTCTTAACACACGCAAAGTCTGCCTCAAAAAAACACTACCTCAGACATCCTAGGGAAGACTGAAAGGAAGCAATCGTTTCATCATTAGCAGATAATAAAATGTTCTCCCTCCCAGGGACAGACGTGTCAGATCTCCCAGGCCTGAACAGGCCAAAGGAAGGAGGTCCCGGATGATTTCCCAGTGAGGGATCCCGAGACAAGAGATAGTTGATCAGCAGCTTGTGGAGCCGAGGAACCTTGGCCAAGGATACAGGAACAGATTTAATCTGTTAAAAGGGGCTCTGCTCTAGCAGGCCAGCTAATTCCATTGCCTGGCCAAAAGGCTCCTGCGGACGAGGACCCCGGGGTCTAATCTCTTCCTTGGCCACGAGTGTCCCTCCAAAGTTTACAGAGAAGGGCTCTTTGGAAGCACCTTTGGGATTCTCTTTCCTGTCCGTGGATTCAGGCGCCGGCTGCTCCTCCCGGGCAGGGCTGTCCTGCAACGAGCCTCTCCTTGAAGGGCGAAGAGGACGAGGACTGTCGGCTTCCCTCACTTTTGTGGAATCCGCCCCGGACGGGTGGCCAGGCCCGGGAGAGGCTTCTGCTGAAACAGAATCATCAGAGGGAGGCATCGGTCCGAGGCCTGTACAGGATCGCCTGCAGGATTTTCACAAAACATCCACAAAGCCAGAAAGCGGGACCTAAACTGCACTCTTGGAATCATTTCTTTAACTAACAGCCCCAGCCAGAATAGCCACAGGCTGGCCTGATTAGGAAAGGGCAGGCATTGAAATCTGGGGAAAGTCATGTTTCCAGGGCTACTCATCTTTCACGAAGAGTTTGGCCATTTTGCTCAGCCCTGTCTTGATACGGGCCAGATAAAAGGGCCCAGAGGTGAACGTGGGAACTGTTCCGGCGTCCTTCAGAACAAGGAGCAAAGGAACTCAGGAAGTCACATGTCAAACCCTGCCATAGGTAACAACTGTGATTTCCTTTCGAAGTCCCATAAGGAGTAACGGAAAAGAATTACTGTACTTTTAGCAGGTAACTTTCCAAGCTCTGCCAAGATCCACTGAGCCACTTAACGCAAGGCCAGTGAAGCCTTCCCAACCGCTGGCTTTTTCGTGCCACTTGCCAGCTGGAGGGCGACGTCACACCACGGTTTTAAGGAGGGTCAAAAAGCCTGCGCTGGGCCCAAGAGGGTGGCAATTTTTGCACCCTTGGCTTATACCTCGAGGGGCGGGCTCTCCTCTCGCTCTGGTCTCTTCCACGGCTCCGGTGGTGCTACTGTCATCGGGGGAGTGACTGGCCGGGTCCTGGTGCCCAGTGCACAGGCTCCTGGATCCCTCCGGATGCTCCCTTATCTTGGTAGAGCAACTGGGGGTGGAGGGTCTCCCCAGGACTGCCTCGGCTTCAACTATGGGAACAAGGAACACCAGGTTGAGACTAAAAAACATGGGCAGACCCCTTTGATGGCGAAGACGTCAGATTTCCCTGGAGCTTTCCCCAGAATAGATTCTAGGATTCTAGGACAAAAAGTTACCCAAGATTTTCATGTTGCTGATGCGCTGCGGGCTCCTCCAAGACATCTGCCTGGAGGGGGTGAAATCTCACAGATCTGCTACCTGGTTAGGAATGCAGGACGTGACGTGAAAAGCCAAGCCTGGGTCCACCTCCAGCCCAGACCTTGGAAAAGTTTCCTTTTGGGACTGACCACTCCCAGAATCCTGGCTAAAGCCTTCGGGGGGGCAGGACCCTGCCAGATTCTGATCTAGCCCTGCACTGACCAGTAGCCCCCGCTGCCAAAGAACCAGGGTGCACAGGGTGGAAACCTCGTCCTGCACCCCCCCTCACCAGACCTTTTATTCCAAAAGCCCGGACAGACCGATATGTTCCTTGGTGTGAAGGAGGTTGTGGCACAGCGCGAGAGCAGCACGGGTAACTCACCAAGATGCCTCACTCACCGGCAGGGCTCCTGGCACAGGGCTCTCCCTCCTGGTTTGCTGGGGAGCTGCCCTGTGGCACCCGGGATCCACAGGGCTCATTGGAAAGGCCTTCCATCTCCTGCTTCTTCGGCCCTGGAGCCAGATGATGCTCTTCTGTATTCATGGGCCCACCTGAACCTGCAAAGAAGCCACGCGAGACCTTGGACTGGGCTATCCTAGGGTTCTGCCAATATCTGACCTCCCCCCCACAGCCGTGGGGCACTGGCAGGGGTCGGGCATTTTTCAGACTGGATACCTGCTCAGGGGCTCAACCCCGCCAGGAGAGGATGACCAAAGCGGAAAGGGGCACGACCAAAAAGGATGATGGATTTTAATAGCTGGCAGGATTTCGGCATGCCCGCGGTATTTTAAAAATGTGTATACTGTGTTTCACTACACAAAAGCCCTTTTTGACATGTAAACCCAACTGACTCAAATGAAATAGAAAGAATGGATCGCGTGTGATTTAATAAAAGGAATATTTTAACGCTCTCACATTTTAGAAGGCTATTCATTCATAGGGTCGCCATAAGCTGGAAACAACTTGATGGCGGACAGCACCACCAAGCGTTTTTAAAAGGCCTTTTCATTTCATGAATGATTATTCAGTCTGGGACTTTCTTCAAGGGTCTCTGCCTCCCAGTCCCTGAGCTCTCGACCCAGCGGGCAGGCCAAGACCTTCCCTTGAGAAAGGGGCAAGAGGGTCGAGGGACCCCCCCAGGACAAGCAAGTCAACGGCTCAGATCGAATCTCCCTTTTCTCTTTGGCCTCTGATGGGCCTTTGGTCGGTTGGTCCTGCCCGCAAAGCAACCCCAACGTGGCACTCGCAGGGGTTGGGAAAATGGACTCTGTTGGATTTTTAATGTTTGCAAGCTCTGGGGGTTCTTTGGTGGGGCCCCACTGCCTCTTTCCAGGACTTTAAGCCACAAGGGGTGCCTTCAAAGCACCTTCTCAGGAAGACCCCCACCCACCCCCACCACCACCACCACCCCGGTCCTTGCAGCCCCAGACAGATGGCTGCTGATCCGTCTCGGGCGCACCAACCTGGAATCGGGGAGTCCCCCCCTTTGTCCTCGGTGCTGCTGGCGGGCGTTTCAGGATCGCTAGATGGGCTGAAGGAGACGTCTGCCAAGTCGCCCGGGAAGCCGAGGAGATGCCAGCTCCCTGTTCGCCCAGCTGTTTTGGCTGCAAGAACGCAAGGGGAATAATAAACCAGAGGCTTCCGAGGGGTCCTGGCCTTGCTGCAAGACTCTTCGGTAGATTCGCACAGAGCGAATTAATTCCAAGAAGGAACAAGAGCGCGTCTGGCTGCCCTCTCCTCCTCCTTTTGACGGGTTCACGTATGCCCTCAAAAGCGAACTGCACAGAGTTCAAAGGGGCACACTAGCAGCCAGGTAGCTATAGGATTTTGGGCTAAATCTTTTCATATTCAGTAGCAATGGCATAGTGGTACCAGGGCCTGCAGAGTCATCAGCCTGGGACTTTCTCAGTAACAAGGATCGTGACCTCACCCGCCACCCACTAGCCCCCTTAGGCTCCTCTGTTCTCTTTCACCTCTGCACAATAATTGAGAGAGAGAGATCCCTATTGTAACACAAAGTGCTGGAGAATAATTTCATCTTGAACGGAAGTCAAGAACCATTAACTTTACAAAAGACCTCTCCTCATTTGTTGATATGGACCAATCCCCTGCTTTCCTTACTGGATTTTCCTTGCCGAGTGCTGGCTATGGGGTGGGGCTCCCAGGTATCAGTGTTATTAGCACCTGGGGTGTGTGGCGTGGTGGCTTGTGAAGTTGCACATATCCATCTCTTGCCTCCCTCTATTTATCTTTCCACCAGAGGTTTAAATTTGCCTTTAGCCGTAAAGAACTGGATTTTGCTGGCGTAGTAAGCTACAGGCCTTTGGCATGCGGTCAAAAAAATTCATAATGGAAATTTCTATGGCTTTTACTAAGATGGTGGTTGTGAGGAAATGGGTTTTGTAGTCCTTGTTTTTCAGAACACCCCAGGTGTCCAGGGCTTCAGCCCGAGAACCAGTCGCTTGTTGTGACTTCCAGCGGGAACAAGTCAAAGTGACATCTCAGGAATGATAAACACCGAATTCTATCCTAATGGCTCACCAGCCTGGAAAGGGGGAGACCCGAGGATGGAAAGTTACCAGCTTTAGTATACAGCTGTTCAAACCTCGTGTTCAAAACCACCCTGCACATTTCCAGGGCTGCTTTTTTCTACACACACCCCTTCATCCTTCTAGTGCTCTCTGCATTCAGAAATCCACCTCTTGACACACACTTCTGGCTGAAAATCCCCAGGGATGGAGGGAGAGAACTCCAGGGTAGCCGAAGACGCTCCAGGCCCTCCTGACACAGCAACGTCCAAAGAGCCAGCTCTCCCACTAAGGGACACGGGACGTGGCACTTTGGTGCATTTCCCCATGTATGCAGCAGCATATTGATCCTGGTGGATGATGCCTCCTGAATCCCAGGGGCCCTTCTTGCCGCCCCAGCCTATCCCTCAGAGAGAAACTGCAAAGGAAGGAAGACCAGCCCGGACAAGACTTTTAAGGAGCTGGTCCGTTTCTCCTTCCTCTCCTTCTCTACCAGCTCGGCTCTTCTCACTCACTTCCTATCAGCCAGACTAATGGGTTGGCCAGGATGAGGCCCCTTGTGGGTAGGATAACAGAGGGGATCAGCCGTGCTGATTTTGCAGGTTGCTATGAGATTTAGGAAGTCTATCAGGCTTAGAGGAGAAAGGACCCCCTTCTTCCTTTGGCAAATCATGTCGCCGCTTCCTCTCTTCCCATCCTGGCTTCTCTTGTGAAAGCCCCACGGCTGTCAAACATGTCACAGCTGCTCATCAAAGGGACTGTGAGATGTTGGAGGAAGACAAGCTGTCAAAGACTCTCTCACCGGCAAGACAAAAAAACAAAAACAAACAAAAAAAAATAGCACTGCAATTCATGAGATCAACAAGAGAAGAGCTGGGACTGCAGAACAGAGCCGGCCTCATAAGCCAGGCTCGAACTCGGCCAAGCCCCCCTTACATGACCCCCCCTGACCACCCACCCCCATCGGTTGATCTGTGTCAGATGATGTGGCATCTGGGGAGGAAGCAGAAACTCTCCGGCAGAAAGGAAGGAAGGCTCTCTGGAACGTGAGGGGTCCCCGTGAACGGCTCCACTGGACAGTTCGGTGGCTCACTCACCATCGCCCGGCAGAACCTCCGGGTCCTCCTCGGCATCCTCGCCCTTGGAATCGGCCACCGGGTCCAGGGGGGCTTTCGTGCGCCCATACAGAAACTCCGGGATATCCTTCACCAGCTTCATGAGGGCGCAAAGATGGAGGCTGCTCCGACACTCGGCTGCTTGGGAGAGGAAGTGGGAGTGGAATGAGATATTCAGAGACGAGCCCCAAAAGATGGGGGAAGGCAGGTTACACACAAGGAGGGAGAGCGTGTGGTGGCCAGAGAGGACCAACCTCTCGCAGGGGTTCTGTAACTCTGGTCTGAATTTTGGAGTCAGAGAGGGCGCAACGTTTTGCTGAAAGAGGAAGGCAGGAGGTGTCTCTCCCCCGCCCCGGGCATCGCAAGCGCCCGCCTGGAGACGTGGACCTGAGCCTACAGAAGCTTGCACCAAATAAAACTTTTTAAGGACTTTTGAGGTGCTTCTGGACTTCCCTTGCTGGCCTTTCCCTGCACGGCAGCCAGGGCAAAGGCTCCATCCGTGGCCTCGGGTCCACTTCATCACAGAGGCCAACCCTCTTCCCTGCAGCCCTTCCCTCTTGCTGTAAATCTCACCGTCCCCCTCGCCAGCTGTGGGGGTCAGCCCCTCCTCTTCGCGGTCACTCATTTCGGCCGTATCCCAAGGCCCCTCGATATCCTCCAGGATCTTGTGATCACCACCTAAAAGTGACAGGTAAAAGACAAACCCAACCAGTCATGCTTGCTACAGAAATCTCCTGGCCAACCTCTCCCCACCAACCCCAGGTTTAAACACTGGGCGGGAGGGGGGGCGGGGGGGCGGCAAAGTGAGACTGTCTTATGGACTCATGTCTTCCCCCAACCTCCAAATACAGCAGAACCACCACTTTTTGGGAGGGAGGGGGCTGTTGAAACACCACTAACTCTATGGAGTCTTTTCTCGCTCCCATCCCCACTCAAGAAGCCGACACAGAGATGGTTTAATTTTTAGTAGAAACTCCTTGCCAATTATTTCACAAAAGAAGCCATAAAACTGGCTGCACCTGTAAGCAACCATCGGTGGCTTGGGCGTACAGGTAACCTGTAAATGTTGCTTTGTCTGTTTGTTTATTTTTAAGACTGCAACCTCCTGAAGCCCACAGTGTTCAGAAAACACTTTTCAAGACAAAAAAAATTTCTCAGCTCTGCAAAGCACTTTTGTTGCGTGGAATATAATTTCGACCAGACATTGCAGAAGGATCTCCTTCATCACGGGAAAGAGCCCTGCAAGTTAATGCTAGGCTGTACGAAGTGCGGTGCAAAATCTTGCTTTTTAGCCCTTTTCCATGTGGGAAAGCCATGGACTGATGGCAATAAAAAGGCCCCAGGGCAGAAGCACCCCATGGCATTTTTCGACTTGCATCCATGTTGACCACACAACTCAGGGCTCCTTACCATGGGCTCCCTCCTCTCCACCAGCCTGGCTGAAATTCTGCCCCACCGTAGTTTCTTCCAGCTGATGAATTAAAGAGGAAACCTCCGCGGAGGGAAGAGAATTACCTGCACGTACAGACAAAATGTGAACGTTGGTTCCAGATCCTCCCAAGGGGGGGGGGGACTCAGGCCTTTGATTGCCTTGCAGATCCAACTGCATAACAAGCAGAGGAGAGCTCTGATTGAGGCAGACGCTGGCCGGAGAGAAAGGAAGTTTTGCATAAATCAGCCCGGTGAGGGGCTGATCACTGAGGAGGCAGGGAGAGCGGAGCAGCAGCACCTGTATGGCCACCTTTACAAACTGGGACGAACGAGGACAAACCAGTCTGGGCCCATCTCTAGGTTGGACCAACACAGAATTAACCCTGTTGATCTCGGGGGTCCCAACCTGCTGGGCACCCGAGGGCACACTTGTCTTAGCTGAATAAACCTGTTGCCCTTTCGCTTATTATTATTGCTCAAGACTTGGCTTAATAGAATTAGCCGAGACACCGAGCTCTGGGAGTAACACCTTCCTTCAATCTGGATGCTGTACTTCTGTGGGTGCAGCCCTAGCGTTGCCTCGGCGGTCTTTCTGCTGACTCCTCGCCCGATGGACTCACATTTAGTCCGTGAACCATGAGGACTCCTGACACCTTTTCGCAATTCCCATTGCCAAGCCGGCTGTCACCCATCCCTGCATTCATATTTTCATGCCAATTTCTGCTCTCCTTAAAGTCCTACAGAACACGGAGCTGTCCCCAAACAAGGGGTGCCCCTCCCTGTAAGCAAAGCCCCCCCCCCATGAGGCCTTACCCAGAGAGAGTAGCAATGTGTAGTTTTGCAGCATCACGTCCTGGTGCAGCTGCTTCTGCCACCCCTCCAGCAGGGACCACTCTTCGGCCGAGAAGGGGACGGCCACGTCTTCAAAGGTTACCAGCTCTGGTGCAACGCAGAGGGTGGACGTGCCATTTTTTGCCTTCACCTGAGGGGGAGAGAGAGAGGCGCCCATGCATTGAGTTGGGAGCTCAGCTAACTCCCTCCAAAAGTTTCCCCTATCAATAATCTCTGGATTACGCATGCCCCAGTCTAGCAGTTACACACATGCGCATGTGCGCAGACACGCCCAACATTTCTGATGGGCCATTTCTTCTACATTTTGACTCCAGCACTGGATCAAAGTTTTTGAAGTCTGGCTTGAAATAAAAAGTTCACACCCTGTACCATTAATATCTCCCAACTTCAAATCTGATTTGTTAGAAATCCCATCTTAATTTATGCCTCCACTATTTAAATGTTCCAAGATTCAGATATCTATGAATGCAAACAGTATGTACAACCGTATGCAGCCTCCTTCTGGGCCATCGATCAATCCTTCCTTAATTCAAAGTGGTGGCAAAGGAATGTTTCCATCCCTTTAAATTTGGGAACCGCTTAAAAAGCAAATGGAGCAGAAAAGGCCAGAGGGGTGAGGGGAGTGTTACAGTTTCTTGTCATCATCTTAGAAAATGAAGAGACTGGAACTTTTTAAAAAAGATGTGACCGGCAGCCGCCATCACTGGTTCCCTAGCCCTCTTCTGAGAAGCAATTTGGTGCAACAGGGTCTCTTTGCAGGGAGGGTTGGGAAGCGGAATATAAAGCGGTCTGGTTTCTGTTTTCCCTTCTGCCTCACTTAAGTTCAAAGATGGTTCCCCATCTTTGCTTGGAAATCCCTCCACGGTGCCTCAACCGCCAGAAAAGAGGAACAGACCTGCAACACCCCCCCCCAGTCCTTGGCAAACCACCATCCTTTGTTTACACAAGGGGACTGAGGGGGAACTGGAATGAAGTCACACCCAGACCGCTGCCCCCCCCCCAAAAAAGGAGGCTCTTGATCAGGGAAGCCCTTCCTGCTGTCAACGAGCCACCCAAAAACCCTGTCTCGTGGCCAATGGCCAACTTTCTAGCCTGTGGCTTCTGTGACTTGAGAAAGGGCAGGTCCCTTCCCTTTAGCCCATTTCTAAGTGGATTCATAACTTTAAGTGGCTTTCTCGTTTTAGTCCCTGTGGCTACCCAGAACTCGGGATGAGCCTCAAAGTAGTTGATGGGGCCGGCAGCACAGCCACCAGGGAACAGAGGCGACTCCAGCAAGAGACGGAATCTCCTTGGACAGCTGCTCTCTCGCTCTCTCCCCCCCCCTCTCTCTCACACACACACAGCGCCAAGCATGGCAAAAGCCAGCATCACACAATGAGAGCCAAGCTGACAGCCTTTGCCACGCTGGCGCGGCTGCTGGGGACAATCACGGATCGATCGCAATAACGCATCCAGACTCCTGGAGAGCCCTTGGCACGCCTGGGTGCTGCTGGGGGGGGGGCATCACCCCTCCTGATGGATTTGGAAAGCCGTCAGTCACCATCCCACACAGATCCCCCTAACTGGGAAGCCTAATCCAGCCAGGGGTTCAGCCAGGGATTGGCGAGGGCCACGAAGGCTCCCTTCTGCCGCCACCCCTTTGTCTCGCTAACGGTCCCCCGAGTCCTCAGCACTGCAAACTACCGAGTCCTTTTGGGTCACAGTAAGACACCCAGCTGTTAATGCAAAACGCCACCCCTTTGTCTCGCTAATGGTCCCCCGAGTCCTAAGCACTGCAAACTACCGAGTCCTTTTGGGTCACAGCGAGACACCCAGCTGTTAATGCAAAAACAAACAAACAAACAAACAAACAGGGCCTCTGTCTCAGTGGGGAGTCCTGTTTTGAAGCCTGGCTCCTCTTGTAAGGCTGTTGCAAATCAGCTGATGGGGCTTCATCCCCAAACATCCGTTCCAGTAGCTCACGAGGTTTTGTCTCCTTCCTTCCTGCATCACAGAGGCCAAGGGAGTCCCTTTTACAGCAGGTGCCACACCGTCTACATGTTATGTGACCTCTAGCGTGCCCAGCTGATGGGGCTTCATCCCCAAACATCCCTTCCAGTAGCTCACGAGGTTTTTTCTCCTTCCTTCCTGCACCACATGGCCAAGGGAATCCCTTTTGCAGCAGGTGCCACACCATCTACATGTTATGTGACCTCTAGCGTCCAGAGAGCAATAGTCTGTCTTCTCCAGCCCATAACAGCCCCATCAGCCCTTAGGTGTGCTTGGGGGAAGGCAGTTTGCAGGAGCTAAGCCTCTCCACTCTGCAGTAACCCCCCCCACCTCTGCAATGTGGGGACGTACAACATGCATTGGAGGGAGCAGGCTGGTATCACCACAAGGCTGCGAGTTCTCGGAGGACCGCAAGACCCTCTATAGTCTGTCTTCTCCAGCCCATAACAGCCCCATCAGCCCTTAGGTGTGCTTGGGGGAAGGCAGTTTGCAGGAGCTAAGCCTCTCCACTCTGCAGTAACCCCCCCCACCTCTGCAATGTGGGGACGTACAACATGCATTGGAGGGAGCAGGCTGGTATCACCACAAGGCTGCGAGTTCTCGGAGGACCGCAAGACCCTCTCGCTCTTAAATGAGCACTCCCTGCCTGCTGGAATCTGTTGCGCTGAAGGCAACCTTCTATCCCAGCTGCGGCTTGTGGCCTTCTCCCCTCCCCCCCCAGGAGTCTCCAGGTTTTGCTGCCAGGTAAACAGAGAGACTTGCAACCAAGGTCTGAAGGACCTGGATCTGAATCAACATAGTCCTCTGTCCAAACAGCAGCAGGTGTCCCTCACTAAGGAAACAGGACGAAGTCCCAGCACAGCCGGGAAAAGTCCCTTTTCTGGACTAAGAGCTCCCAAATCTCCCTGTGCTGAGTGCGGAATTTGGTGAACGACCGTCCACAGAAGTAGCTTTTCCAGGTCCTGAGATTGACTATGACTCGCACAAAGAGGCTGCGGAAAATTTGCAAGAGAGGAAAAAACAGAGCAACGCCTCTGTGTCCATTTCTTGTATGCTGTGCACTGTTATGACACGAAGCCACTTCCCCCTCATCCACCCTGAACCGTCTTTCTCCGGGGAACAAGACGAATCCAGCAACTCCACGCAAGGGAAGAGCAGCACACGTTCTCACCACCATCTCTGTGGGCAAATCCGGGTTGTTCTCCATCTCAAGGAGGCCTCGGCAGAAGTTCCACTTGGTGCCCCCCTCTAAATGCGCACAAGAGCCCAGAGATTTGGCCGCTTGCTCAGCTGTCACTTCTCGGAGTGAAGGCAAGGTCTGGCCCAACACCTTTCTTTGCTCCTCTGACGTTTTTCTGGGGACAGCGGCCCTCGTGGCTTATTTGACACCTAATGCAGCCCGACAGAGTGGCATTTTCCAGGAGAATCATTTTGTCAACACCTTAATTCCAGACTCCCGTTGGCTCTTCATCCTGACAATAACCCCCTCCCCACTTAGGGATCTTGTCAACCGTGAGCAGATCAGCCGCGGGGCTGGGGAGTTGACTGCCAGGAAGCGTTGGTGGACAGCCTGCTCTCTCTTGCCTGTGGGGTGTTTCCTTTTTTTGGGGGGGGGAGCAAAATCACAGAAGCAGGGAAGCAGAAAAATCACACCTGAAGGTCATATAGTCTGACCCCCCCTGTAGAATCATAGAATGTTGGGCCTCTAAAGCCATTGAGTCCAGCCCCTGCTCAAGGCAGGAATACAGATCAAAGGCTATCTGCCAGGAGGTTGTCTAAATTTCTCTTGAATGCCTCCAACGTTGGAGCGCTCACGGGTTCCACTGTCGTACTGCTCTAACAGTTAGGAAGTTTTTCCTGATATTCAACCGAAATCTGGCTTCCTGTCACTTGAACCCATGGTTGCATGTCCTGTGCTCTGGGATGATTTGACCCCCCCTGTAGAATCATAGAATGTTGGGCCTCTAAAGCCATTGAGTCCAGCCCCTGCTCAAGGCAGGAATACAGATCAAAGGATATCTGCCAGGAGGTTGTCTAAATTTCTCTTGAATGCCTCCAGCATTGGGGTGCTCATGGGTTCCATTGTTGTACTGCTCTAACAGTTAGGAAGTTTTTCCTGATATTCAACAGAAATCTGGCTTCCTGTCACTTGAACCCATGGTTGCATGTCCTGCACTCTGGAATGATCGAGAAGAGGAGAGGCAATGAGGGTGTCAAAAGGTACAAAGCAGGAGAGGTTGATAGCATTATATTTTGGGGGACTACAACTCCCAGATGGCTGGAAAAATCTGGAAGATGGAGTCCAGAAAGTGACTTTTTAAAATTAATTAAAGAAAAACAATAAAAACAATGCTAATATAAAATGTGTATACATACATGCACTAACACCACATTTCCCCCCTTGTGCCATCATCATTCTTGAGACCAGATAAGAAAATATTTCCTTTTAATCTCTTTTCACCCCATGCCACGCCAAAGATACTGTACATTGATTCTTCTGCTGGCTTTTGACCTTTCCATTTTACAAAAAACATAATTCAAATATGGACTCCATATCTCTTTAGAATCATTATATTTTGTCAATCCTCTTTTTTCTTTTATTTCACATGTCAGCTTGCCATTTATCGCTAAACTCCGCATTTCTTTCTACCAATCTTCAAAGTTGACTTGTTCATCGTTTTTCTAATTTTCTGCAAATATTAATCTTGCTGCTGTGACCATTATAACAATGAACTCTTTCTGTTCTTTTTTAATATGATCATTCTTAATTATATTTAAAAGGGCAAAATTTGGTGATCTTCAAATATGACTTCCAATAATTTCTTTAAAAAAACCAGTGCCCATTCTTTCTTGACTTTTTCAACCTCTAGGGAGCAGGAAGAATCACTCAGATCCATTTACCTCTTTGAAATAATATGTTACCACTAACAATCTAAACATCCCAAAGGGAGGCTTGTCTTCCTGCCAACAAGACCTGGAAAGATACATTTTAGGCTGCAACTGATCTCAGCCAAAAACCCAAGCAAATCTCTTTTGACTGCCTAATGAATCAGAACGATGACAAGACTGGACAGGAATCCTTTTGACCCCTTGATTGCTCAACGACCTGGAGACCAAGGGGCCCAGCCAGTCTCACCGCCA